TAAAAAAAAATTCTGAATTTCCACTAATGTGACCCGCGTGACACATTTTGTCTTAGCACGTCATCATCCCTATTTTATCCATCACCCACTAATATGTATGAAATTAAACGTAAATTACTCTCTATAAATTCGTTATTGCTCAAACAAACCATTATTTTTATAGCCTTCAATTTTTGTTTGGTTACAGAGCTATCGAATAGAAAATCAGACCCCTCCTGCCACACCCACCTGTCACATCCTCTCTTTCACAATTCATTGATAGTTCTCTCTTACGTTTCATTTGTATATTACCTATAACCAATAGAAAGTCAAGGTTTTCATATATCAAATGACATATGTATAACGTTGTATTCTGAACCAAATATTGTCCATTTCACTCACAGTACAAGATTCATTCCCATGGGAAAGTTAACAACTAGCTTTGATGAATTTGTAACAGCTCTTGTCGCATAGTTAGAAAGTCAGAAAAATTTTGAGAGGTAAGGAAATTTGTCTACATTTTGCACATTATTACTCTATATTCTATGGTACATTACTGAATTAAATAAAAAGCATTAAGTGCATTACTATCTGTAGTCTAAAAAATTTGGGTTAATTATCTTCAAAAACCAGAGAGCAAGAAAAAAGAAGATGGGATAAGTACTTTATTTCTTGTTTTTAGAAATAGATGTGTGCTGTTACGAACTTAGAGCTACTTAAGATAAATGAATGTAGTTTCATGTTACAAGTTGAAGTCATTCTAGAAAGAAAAAAAAAGGTTAATTTTGGTTTATATTGATTGTTTTTGGTAGTTACGAGGTCGGTCGAATTGACCGATCGCAGTTTGAAATGGGGTAGAGAAAATAACAGATGCCCTTTACACACCCACCCTTGAGAAAAGCAAAAATTTACACACACCCTTTACTCTTCAGGAAATCACCAATTCCTTTCCGAACTCCAGAAAAGTGCCAGCTTACACCACTATAAATGGCAACCCACTCCACAAATCATTAACTCTGTTAAAAAATAAAACTACCTTAAATGAAATCAAGCCCATCCCTTCATATCTCAAATCTTGATTGATCAATGTAATCTATTACCTATGATCATTGATTACATCAATTAGTGTCACATAAAATACTCTATTAATTGAAATTATGAAATCAATTAACTCTCTCAATACAAGCTCAGTCCAAGGAACCGACCACAGGACAATTTTTACTTGTATATAGTTTTAATACTATCACTTTTAATACAGTGTGTGTATCTTCACAAAATTTGGCAGATTTTAGTACATATTACAAGTGTTTTGTACACACAAAAAATCAGTTTTTTAATCAAATATTTTAACTAAAGATTTGTCCATGAATATATCAAGTATTTGTTTTGAATAGTCCATGTACAAAGTGATTTTCATATTAAGATTAAAAATACTTTTCTTCATCTCAAAAATCTAAAACCTCCTAAATACATTTCAAATCTTTGTTTTTACTAAAACTTTATATTTTATCTGTTATTTTCTGTTTCCTAACTCTATACAAAGTTGATCAATTTGACAGACCTCATAGCCACCAAAAAAATCTAAATATATCTAAATTACCCTTTTTTCTTTCCAGAATAACTTCAAATTGTGACTTGAAACTAAATTTGTTTATCCTAAGTAACTTTAAACTTGTAACAGTATACAAATATTTACAATACAATTTTATTGTTTTATTGCCCTTTGAACTGGGTATAACTACTATTCATGCCATTATAAGTTGTAAATCACTTGTGGAACATGGAGGTCACATTACGCTATCGAATTACGTTGACCCATGAGCTCCTCGTGGACGTGCCTCATGAAACATTTTTATTATATTGTTGTTTATTTTACCTAATTTTTCCATTTTAGTTACTTTTATAATAATAAATAAAGAATAAACATGAAATAGAGTACTTACACAATCTTATTCTTTCTGGCTGTCGACTGTCGATGACACTTAACCCTACTTTTTTATACTAAAGGTAGTAATGCACTAAATGATTAATATTTAATTAAATAATGCACCAATGAACATAGACTAACAACATGCAAAAAACAGACAATTTCCCCTAACTCTTACAATTTTTCTAGCTTTCTAACTATGCGACAAGAACCATTACAAATTTACCCAAACTAGTCGTTATCTTTCCCATGAGAATGAAGCTTGTACTACCAGTGAAATTGACAATTCTCCATTATAAAAACAACATTATACAATAAGTCATATGATAGATGAAAACCTTGGCTTTCTATTGGTTATAGATTATATAGAATTAAAACATAAGAGAGAACTATTAACAAATCCTGAAAGAGGATGTAACAGGTGGGTGTGGCAATAGGAGTCTGATTTTCTATTTGATAGCTCTTTAAACAAAGAAAATTGAAGGCAATAAAAATTATGATTTGTCTGAGCAAGTACGATTCTATAGTGAGAAATTTACATTTAAATATGTACTTATTGGAGGGGTGGTTGATAAAACAGAGGAGAGAAGATGCATAAAGAAAATGTGTCACACTAGGGGAAATTCAGGATTTTTTTTAAATATTGCTGTATAATATTAAGAACTTAAAA